ACTGGGTTTGTAACGGTTATTTTGGTGATGGGGCTGTCTCTCTTACTATTATGACAATTCTTTGGTTGGACTTGTATGTATAACATGTGACTGTAACTATTATTACTATAATATAAATGTATTTTGATTTAGATTTGCGTAGTGACTAAAATATGTCGCTTTTAGATTAGGTTTGAATAATTTATTCTTAAGATTGATTATACAATTGTTTGTATTGGGCAATATACAATTGATGTCACTGTAAATAAGTCATATATTTTTGGATTCTTCTAAAAATTTTGAAAAAATAGCGAAGCGTTAGATTGATTTTAATTATTTTTAAAGCAAATGAAGAAGAAAATTTGTTTTAAATTAAATATTTTTTTAAGTTGCAAAGTGTTTTTAAATACAAGTTATTACTAGTACTATTAAATCAAATAAAAATTAGATGAAATTTAATTGTTGTATTAGTTTTTATAATTTCGAGAATTCAATTTTATAGATATGACTATGACAGTCTGGTGGGTTCTATGCCATATCCACCTAATCCCTCCCAACTCAACTCAATCCCCACTGCAGCAGGACTTCACGGATTGCTCTCTCTCTCTCTCTCTCTTGTTTTTTTTTTTTTTTTTGTTTGGACGTGTCTGTCGATGGTCCAAAACAATTATAGCATAATCATTCTTTACTTGATGAATGGCTGTAAAGGCAGTCCACTTTTCTCCAACAAAACTTTTTTTGAGATCTACCTTTTAAACTTTATTTTATAATGTTTGCATCTTTCTTTCGTTAAATAATGCAACTTTTGCATTTTTTTTTTTTTTTTGTAATTATTTGAAACTTTTAAAGGAGGGATGGCGAGATTTAAACATGTGATCTAACGATTCAATAATAGATTGTGGTGGTCTTTCGTTGGTAAACATGAGAATGAAAAAGGAAAGGCTGAGCTTGTAACACATCCCAAAAGAGAACTGCTTTAAATTTGAAAAAAAAATAGAACAATTAATAAGAGTATAGTAAAAACAAAAAATTCTTGCAGCAAATTCTAATTTTATTACAAGTGATTAATGGATAATTACAAATATAAAAGGTCGGCCCTATGAAACGGCAACACAATCATACATTGATCTCTCAGCAATATTAAATTAATTAATCTTGATTAGTTTAGTGGTAATTCAATCATCTAATAAACCTTTCTTTAGGGATAGGTTAGGGTATCTCCAATTCTGATTCAAATTTAAACTCAAATTTATATTTTAAAAAAAAATCTAAAAACTTGTTACAACCCTTATTCAAACTTATATCAAATCAAGTAAGACTCTTTTTTTTTTACTCAAATTAAGGCAGACTCAAATCGTTATCCAAATTTTTAATTGTGAGATTTCACCCTCTTTTAAAATCTAAAAAAAAAACTCTCGTTTAAATTTTTAAGTTTCTCGTTTTTTAAATTTGAATTTGTTTATTAGAGCCCTTTATATCAAATCAAATTTTTTGCTCAAATATTAACTTAAATTTAAATCATGATTAGAGATACTCTCAAAAATTTGAATATCCCAAGAAATCTAATTCCTTAGGACCCTGGCCCACATATTTACCTCTCACGTAAAAGGATAGTTTTGCACAAATTTTAGTATTAATTCATGAGTAATTTTATTTGGATTTAAAATTTTAATTTAATTTGTTAATATAATGATATGACTTCAATGAAATCATTGAATCAAACCAACCGTCAATCTAAAAATCATAATAAATTAGATCATTAAATTATGTGCTAATAATATAACTCTTAATCCGCTCTGTGAACAAAAAGGTTTTGTTAATTATTGGGACAGCGGAGATATTAAAATAAAATAAAATATTAAATTAATTATAACGTCAGTGATCGTCATTCAAATTGGAGATGTCTATACACGCCCATATACATAGAGAGAGTATGTGTATGTCTGTGTTAGAGAGAGAAGAGAGTGGTCCAGCTGAGTCTACTGCTGACCGGACTTTAGAAAGAAGCCGTGTAAGATAAGGAATATATGAGGGTGAAAGGCAGAGAGAGAAAAATATTCTCTTTAGCCTAGCTTCCATGGTATATGGAATTTTCTCCGAAGATTCAATCATGGGTGAGCAAAATCTCTGTAAAAACCAAACAAAGTTGGAGTTTAGAGGGCTGAAACCAAATCCTCCTCTAGGTTCACTTTGTTTTCTGGGAAAGTTTTGAGTAAGCTAGGGAAACATCTCTCTATCATCAGCAAATCTTTTGTTTTCTTATTCCTCTTGGGTTGGTATATATATAGCATATATTACCCTCTCAGCTTTTGAGTTAGTTCCTCTAGGTCTCTGTAACTTCTGTTTACTATCTACTTTTAGACAAACCCACCAAGGTAGCTTCAAACTCAGTTGCACAATGATGTCCGATGATGGGTTTTCTTCAGTTCCTTCTTCTATTACAGGGTCCATTATTCCAGAGCCAAACCCTAACCCTGGCTCTAGTTCAAATCAAGCAAAGAGAAAGAGAAATCTCCCAGGAACACCAGGCAAGCTAAACTTCATCATTACACATCCAATCCTGTTCTGTTCTTTCAGTTTTTCTTCTTTCCTGGATTATCATTATTATTATCTGTTTTGTTTTGTTTTTATTGTTGGTTTTAAATCAGATCCAGATGCAGAAGTGATAGCTTTGTCTCCAAAGTCTCTAATGGCGACGAATCGATTCATATGCGAAATATGCAACAAGGGTTTTCAGAGAGACCAGAATTTGCAGCTACACAGAAGAGGTCACAATCTGCCATGGAAGCTCAAGCAAAGAACCACAAGGAGGTGATCAGAAAGAAAGTGTACATATGCCCGGAGAAGAGCTGCATCCACCACGATCCGGCGAGAGCTCTCGGAGACCTCACCGGAATAAAGAAGCATTACAGCAGAAAGCATGGAGAGAAGAAGTGGAAGTGTGAGAAATGTTCCAAGAAATATGCAGTTCAGTCGGATTGGAAGGCTCATAGTAAGATTTGTGGGACTAGAGAGTACAAATGTGACTGTGGAACACTCTTCTCTAGGTACTTTGTTCTTCAGACATTTTTTTTGTTTGTTCAGTTTGGTCTAAAATTCGATGTTTTATATGATTAGTTTGTTGAAGAAATAAATGCTCACTCTTGTAGTTTGTAGAGCATTCATGTGAATTTAATGCGATTTGACCAAACCAAAGGGTTGTATTTCACATTCTTTATTAGGAGTTCTGTTCATTTATCTGTAGTGATTCTTCAGAATTTCTGTTCTATTCCTCGGCCCTCTCTTATAGAGGAGCCTTCCAACTCATGGATATAGATAAAAAGCAACTGGAGCTAAAATTTAATTTTCATTGTTCTTAAATTTTATTTTTATCTTTTGATTATCTCTCACACTGCATGTTCATAACAGCTTCCTATGTGAATTTGATGTGATTAGAAAGAAGAAAAAAAAAAGTTTATATTTCAGATAGTTGAGTTGGATTTGTTTGTGTCCTACAGAAAGGACAGCTTCATCACCCATAGGGCCTTCTGTGATGCATTAGCTGAAGAAAGTGCAAGGTTCGCTTCAATTCCACCAGCAAATCTAAACTTCAGAAATGAATTGCTTAATGGAGCACTTGGTAATCCTCAATCCGTTGGGAATCCACAAATTCCGTCAGTTTTTCGGCCGGAATTCACCGGCCTAGAATTGCCCGGCCAACTCATTAATGATGGGCAGAAATCTAAACTACCACTGTGGTTGGACAATGCCAATTCTCATCAAAACCCCATCCGAATTCCAGGTAATTCTAATGCTTTCTTAACATCAAGCTGCACCGGCTTGCCGGAAATGGCTCAAATGGCGCCGGCAAATATGTTGGGATTGTCACCAGAGACCCAGTGGTTCAATAGGAGCCAAGAAGCTTCATTCACAGGTGCAAATCTTTTGTCTCCAGCAATGCCACGAGTATTGAAAGAGGAAGAAGAGGACAAACGAAATTTGTCGAACACTATGAGCTCATTGTATTACAGTAGTCAGAATCACCATGAAACAACACCAGCTCAAATGTCTGCTACTGCCCTTTTGCAGAAAGCAGCCAAATGGGTTCAACAAGAAGCAATTCATCAGCACTATTTGGCACTGGGTTTGGACTCATGATGACCTCATCTCTCTCCGGTCTTTCCAACTTCAATCCTTTGAACCCAAGTGGAAATCAAGTTCAAAAAGCCGAGAACTTGAATGTATTTCTGAATTCTAAATCTGGTTCATCACGAGACAGAAACAGTGGAGATGGGTTTTTGTTGGGTCAATTGAACTCGAGCTCATTTGTGGATGGCACTAAGAATTTAGACCACCCTCTCATGATTACTCCATCAACTAATGGGAACCAAAGCAAATCAAAAGGCAATGAAGTTGAAGGTCGTCTGACCAGAGATTTTCTGGGTGTAGGAGTGAATGAAAGCAGACGGTTCTTCCAACAAGATCAGCTGGCCAACATTGCTTCATTAGGTGCAGCCATGAACTTAAGCCACCAGTACAATAAAAGCGACTGACCTCCCTCCATGGGTAGCTTATAAGTAATTTTGAACATCATATTCCTGATAGCCCGAAGGAAGGGTGGGTCTTGTTGCAATGGAGTAGTTGCTTATTAGAGGCGCAGAAATAAACTCGCCATATGAGGGATAAGAATGACTAGTTCGACCTTCTCAAATCTTGCAGTAATAGGAGTCTTACTCTTTTCAGATCTTATAGTAGAAATAACCTTGTGCAATCGACCATCCATTTCCGTGTTCAAAAAAAAAAAAAATTAGACCACCCATATTTAGAATTATGTACGTTAGCTACAAAAGAGAGTGAGATAGTAGATTAGAGAAGAGAGAGAGAGAGAGATTGTGAACTGTCAGAGGGAGGGGGAGGGGGCGGGGGGCTGCAGTCTGGAAGAAACTTGACAAAAAGAGATCGAGTTGGCAATCACAAGGAAAGGTGTTCGAATACTGCATCAGTGCATTTAGAAAGTTTTGTGCTTTTTATTGTTTTTTTCTAGGAGTGATGGTCTACTTACTGTGAGCCTGTGACTCTTTTGAGTCCACAGCTAAAGTGGACACGATGGATTAAGGAGGTATTGGTATCAAGTACGGATCTCCTTGATATGACCTCCCCTGAGCTGCTGGATTGCCCAAAACCCAACCATGAAGATGATGGTTGCCAATAATGTAGTCATCGTTCAGATTGCTAGACATTTTTCAGTTTCTGTCTCGACATTCCAAATTCTCAAGTTTGGTTTGATTTGGTTTTTTTTTGGTAGGTGATCTGTATGTTAATTTTGACTCGAATGTTACTTAAATTATTGGTTGAAAAAAAAAATACACGCGTGTCACATTTTTATCTACTAAAAATAAGGGTTTAGTACAGAAAATGTATTTAACTCTTGTAACCAGTAACTAGATTTGTCAATCGTGTTCGATGAAACAGATTCGTGTCGGATCTTAACGGGTTCATATCAAAAAATACTTCACTCTTACCCAATTCGTTTACTAATTCGTGTTTAACGAATTGTGTCATATCAGATTTATATCTTAATCGTGTTGTGTTATATCGAATTCACTCACTTACAAAACAGATAGTTTAAGAATGATCCGATCCTTATAATTTTGTATCATGTTTATCGGTTCATATCATATTTTGACACTCTAACCATAACTCTCTCCCACTTTTTTAAAGCTTCCTCCAAACAGTTTCGAGTATGGAGCCAATAAACTAATTCAAATAACATCTTTGTCTATGGGCCCATTTTTAATCAGGACCCTTTCAAATATGAATATATTATAGTTTTGATTAAAAGTTATGATTCTCATTGTGTGATGCAAAATTAATGATTATTTTTATATTCAAGTATTACAAATATATCATTTTCAATGGATACTATGATTGATTTTTTCCAAGTTTCTTATGATATATGATTTGTTGCTAATTGGATTTATGAGTTTTAATTTTGTTAAAAAAAATTAAAAATTGCAAAAGTAACTGCTATTGTTATTACCAGTATATGTATTTGAATAAGAATGTATTATTTTTAAATATTTTTAAACTGTGTGAGTCCCTTTGTAAAATTTCTTTTAAATAGTCATGATGCATTGGTTTTGCTGGCTGCTCTAATATAAATTCAGTGCAATGGGTGTAGTTTGAAATTTCTAATTTTTAGAGAGAGAGAGAGAGTTAGGTCAGCTCTCCCTTTCTCTTTCTTCTCCATATCTCTCTATCTTTTCTCTTTCTTCTCCATATCTCCCTAAAACTTTAAAATAACTAAAATTTAGCTACCCAAAAGATAAAAATGAGCTCCAATAAAAAATATTCAGAGTAGATAAAATATAATTTTGCTATAGTAGCACTATAGCATCATATATAAATAGTTATAATATATTCTCACTCCTTATCTTTAAACAATATTTTATAATATTTTACTATTTAGATATTCAATATTTTATGATATTTTCATATTTTTATAATATTCTCTCTCTACTCCTCTTTAAGATTTTCATATTTTTAATAAAAAATAAGAAATAAAAAAAGATGCTCTTTAATTAAATGTTTTAATATTTTATAATATATCTTAACAATACTTTCAACAGCCATTAAAAAATATAGTCATTGGAGAAATTTTGTTGTTGAAAATGATAATTGAAATATAGTTGTTGAAAAGAAAACAAATAAAAAGGAATGAAAAATAATATTTAAAGGAAGCAATTAAAAGTATACAAAATCTATTAGAGTGTGTATTGAAAAAATGTGTAACTAAAATAAAAAAAAAAAGTAAATTTTTAAATAATTAAATTACAAAACTTTGTTGGAGATGTTCTAAGTTCTCTACACAATCATCAGAGCCAAAATCACAGCCATAATTGTTGAAGGCGAGATCACAGTCACGATTGTCAAGATTGAAATAGTTTTATCTTAACTCAAAGCATAGTTCAAGTGATAATAGGAGTGAGTTCTACACTCAGACATCTTGAGTTTGAATCTTGATAACCCTTTTGAGAGTCAAATCATGAAAAATTTTATTTTTCCATTAATATCTTAAGATTTATCCCTCATTTTGGACAGTAAAATGTTGGATAGCAAAATTAAATCATTTTACAATTTGAGACAAGTATTTCACTTTATTTTTATTTTCAGTAATGCTATTGTGACGTATAAAATTGACCTAATTTGCTAAAATTATATAAAGTGATGGAGTGCCCGTGAAAAAATCTAAAAATTACAGTCACAATACTATTAGACCACATCACTATCACGACAACAAATTAAGTCAAATTGTAGAGTTCCAATAGCATTACTCTTTATTTTTTCACTATTTTTTTTTTCAAACTTAAACAATGAAAAATTTATTTCACTGTTCAACTCACCGCCTCTACAGGGGAATTGGACACTCAGATAGATTTTTCACTGTTAATCATATTTCACTGCCTCAATTGGAACCACTACATACAAATGGCCTTCGGCACCATCTCCAGCAGTCTCCTCCCCTACCACCAATAGTACTACAACCGCCACCTATTGGAATCGTAGCACCATCAAGCATTCATTTTTTCAAACTACAACCGCCTTTCATTTTTTTTCAAAATTAGGACTCTTCTTATTTGAAAATGTCCAATTGATATGCAAACCATTAAGTTGTTCATATTTATTTAAAAAGATAAATGATTCTTTTGACAAGGTATTACCACTTTGAATCCAGAAACTTTGTGCTAAAACCTTATTAACCCAAAATACAACTACACAGAGACTTGCTCCAGTGGGTTAGTTAATTAGTAGAAATAGATACCAAAGAGGCTAAATGGAATGGTTCCCATATGCCTCCACGTTAACTCTACATGTTTGTCCAACAATTCAACTTTCTTTTATGAGTACACCACATACATAAGCAGAATATATATGGTCATCATATGCTAAATGTGCATTTTTAGTAAGAGATGCACAAAAGATGGCTCCAACCTCTTCCAAGTAAGCAAACTGCAAAATTAGCACATGGAAGCCCCACTATCCAAGTTGTTCAAATGAGGAAAGTGTAGAATAGTCATCTCTAGGTCTCAGCCTGGTTATGTTGGGATGAAATCTCCGCTAATGCATCCTCAGCTTTCACTTTCTCAGGAACAAAATCTAAATGCAGCAACAAACACAAAACAGTTGAAAGCTAAATAGAAGAGCCATTACAAAAGTTTTATATATGGGGTATTTATGTGGTAAGGAGTCACAAGTCAGGATTGGTAAAAGATACCTGAAAGAAAGTCGAATCTCCTCCGTTTAGAAACCACCGACGCTGAGACAAAGAAAGAAAGTGTCTAAGTACAACTATGAACAATGTAAACACGCAAATAAGGGATGCAAAAGAAAGACTAATGCTTCTCTGAAAATGAACAATGCTAATGTAATTTACCACAAGTTGCGATGATTCTATCATCCAATCATAAGAAACTGAATTTAGAAACTGGAATTGAAGCGAGGACATCTGGGCAATTATTGACGCCTTCTGTGAATGAGTAGCACAAGTATGCCATGCTTCTATCATCCAATTTTAATAAACTGATTCTAGAACTACACATTCACGAGGCTGACAAGTTAGCCAGGTTATGTGGCTTCAAATCCAGTTTCTAATACCAGTAAAACAGAACACAGTGCATTAACAGGGTTTGCCACCTCATCAAACACCATATAAAAGATATTTTGTAGTCAAGCCACAGGTTTCAGATGATAATTGCAATTACCTCCAAAAACAATATTACCGGAAGTAGAAATAGATGAATCTCAGACAAAAAAATCAATTTAAGGTTTTCTGTCAAATTTTCGAGAAGGAATGCTTTTGTCTTCCAGACTCATTATTGCCTGAAAACTGGAATTCTACAAAATTAATGTCCAATAACCTCTGTTTTTAATCCCACAGGATAGCATGAGAAGTCATTCGATTAGCTTTTAGCTTGTTAGAAATATTAAATGTTATAATATTTCCAGTGTCACGAAGGTTGTAATAGAATTTCAACTAAGAAAAAGAACCATGGGAAACTTCTATTGATTACAATTTCTTCACATACATCACAATACAGAGATGGATAGCAACCACATTCAGTTAGACTTCAGATCTCATTCCAAGACTAGTAAGATCACACTAATGGTAAAATATAGCTCTAATGTTATTAACTGAAAAACCAAAACAAAACCTTGCTTTAGATCAATTGTATAATAACACAGCTGAAAAATTATATGATTTGCATTGGAGCATATAAATAATGTACAACTGGAGAGACCTCATGTCAAAAATAAAATTAATTAACCCTATAGAGCAGTGGAGCAAGAAATTACATAGGTGTTTGTAACTGACATGACGTTTGTGATCCAGAAAAGAACAAGCATAGCCCTCCTTACAAAATAATTCAAGAAACTTCTCCTGCAACCACCGAAAGAAATTTAGGGTGACAATATAAGAATGAAACAGAAGTATAACCTATAAAGACAAATCCCAGATATTCAATCCTTCATATGTGTACTTGTCAAGCACAAC